TTGTCTTCGTTTAACACGGGGTCGCATATTGCATAGGTCGCAGACGTTCATTTTTTAAGAGAGGAGAACTCCAACTTTCACGAAACATATTTTCACTACCATCGTTAACATACACAACATTAACAATGATCGCGTAATCTGTTATCTAAATGCTTTGTGGTCGAGTCATTTTCTATGGGAATGACGAAACCTCGGAGGAAAAACGGTAAATCAAGGAACTAAGGCTTCCAAAACGATTCAATACGACGGGCTACATCTATGTGATACAAATTCTGAGTGAAGTATACGAAAGCACAAAAGACAGAAGAGACCATTCCACTTTCATAGACTTGAGAAGAAGTTTTGAACTATTTGAGACGGAAGCGCTCTTGGAAGCTCTGGACCACCGGACCGTTTATGCCCACCACAGAGATTCGATGTGAATTCATATATCAAATTCACAGCACGAGCTTCACTAATACAGCAAGTTTGTTCACGAGCTAAGGAGAAAGTTTCAAAAAGCGTACAATAGCCTTGCCAAAGTTGTATTTTTCGCTATCACTCCTTGCATGAACAAGCGAAAACTAAAATGAAATAGCATGGAAAGGGAAGTGGATGATGAGCAGCTGAACATCTCTATTTTAGTAATGGAATTGTTGGTGAAACATTAAATTTAAGATCCATCACCGTTCTGGTATCAAACTAGTCGGATGGTGGCAAATCTCCCTCTGATCCACAAGGGCTGCGACTGCCTGTGATAGCAAAGAACTGGGGCAGACTTTGGCCAGGCTGACCTCGTGATTCCAGGAAACCACAATGGCTAAGCCAGAAAATCTCCGAAAATAAAGATAATGCTGAAGCCCACACAGCCAGTGGGGACGGGCCATTCAAGTATCAAGTATCAAGACTCAGACGTTATGAAAAGGAGAAATATTACTAAGATAGATAGATGAAAGATACTGTGTGCAAGGAAGCAAGTGGTGTGGTAAGCACGAGCGTCGTTGACGTAGAGTTGAAGAGAAGGGATATTTGGATCCGTGGTGTTTTTTTTCGATTCTGCGGTTTTATCCTTTTTAATATACACCGGAATGAACACTTCATAACCCATAGTTGTCATAAGCGCTATCGAAAAAGTGATGCTAGAAGAATTCCTTACCACACAAGCAAGACACTGTATCAAAAGTCCTAACCTAAATAGCCAGCCGATTGCGCCTAGGAGACAACTGGTAGACGAGATCTGTTGGCACATCTCTCATTAATGACGTCAACAACGCAGTCAGAAGGCCACCGACTAAAGATCAGCCTTCTCTGCGAAAAACATGGAAAGAAAATATGATATGTTCGAATTTCCAAGGCGAGCAGTACCCAGTAGATTAGCTTCGACCGCATAATTATGCCTGAGTTTCTCTTTCTCTTCGAAGTCTGATACACAGCACAACATTGCCTTCTTTTGTCAACTTGGCAGATACCGTCTAGGATATTTTCATACTATAAGGGACAAAACCTAAAAGGATAATGCTTTCGGCGTTGATTCAGAGAAATAGCTGAAAATGAATCACAACAGGAATGAATATAAATTATTTTTAAATCAATTATATAATAAAAGGGTAAAGCTCTCGGCGTTGACCAATCCCTGAACGATGCACCATGCCTCCGGCTTCGTTAAACATCGTTAGAGGTAATTGAAATCATACCTAATCATAGAGACCCTTGGTGGCCTAAGTTGGTATGGAGCCCGTGCTGTTATCCTCCCAGACAAATTTGGGACCAATTTTTCGAACTCGAGGGCTGGAATTCTTGGAAAGCCTGGGGCGCAGAATAGATTCTATTGCATGCGTATTGCGAACACCTCTAACCGCTATACATCTTTCGATAATTCCCATATAGGTATGAGTACCTAGAAACTAAACCCTTAAAAGGATGAGCGCTATTCTTATGATACATTTAGATATAAACGGCTTATTACATTTCATAAAATAATGTCTAGACTTTTTTAAACAACTATTTGGTAGCTCATATCATTCTTTTCAACTGAAGATTTAGTGGTAATCTGAAATGTGCTCATGATATTTAGACATCATGTTTTTACTCAAAAATAGATTTTAACCAAAAGTCCCATAAAGACCAAGTTTTTGCACTGCCTGCTGATTTTGGTTACTGTTCAGAAACGACAGAGCGATTACGACTATATATCGTGGGTAAGTGGCCCTGCAGTGTCATAGAAGCAGCACCCGCTGTCTGTGCGCAGCAACGATTGCATGCCTAGTAATTTAACCAGTCTGCTCCTTACTATTCTGCAAAAATTACTTGCTTTCTTAAGAGGTCTTTCTTCTCTTACCAGGTTACTTACTTGGATAACTGGATGGCTAGTTTTCACGGGCACTGCGCCTTTCCATTCGTTTCTCTCTCACACAACAGCCTTCCATGGTGGCGGTCTGCTTTGAACAGGCTAACGTCCGCAGGACCCATTCCATAGTCCCAAAGTCTTCCCATTTACGACCGACGATAGTTTATGTGATTGACCAAGAAGACGCTTGCATTCTCTCAGATTCCATTCCACTGTTGTTTTTGTCCATTTGCCATTTGTTCTTGACTTCATATAACCGGCCCATCAGTGCTTTACTATCGATGTGTATTCTCTCGAATATGGTATAGGTTTCGAAGATCTGACCTACGCATTCCGGTTAAACATCGTGAGCGCGATCTAGTTTAAGAACATATCGGTCGAGCTTTCTCTGGATAAAAAGAATAAAGGGTAAACCTCTTGGCGATGATCAATCTCTGAGAGATGCGCCATGCATTCGGCTTCATTAGGCATCGTTTGGAGGTGATTGAATATCTGACCTCTACAATGACTCGCGGTAGCCTACCGATGTATCGAGCTAGTGCTGCTATCTTTCCAGACAAGTCTGGTACCAATTTGCTAACCCCGGAGGGATGGAATGCTTGTTGGGCCATGGGCACAAGGGTCAATTCCAGTGCGTGTCGCAGTGGCGCCTCCAACCACTGCGCCACACATGCTCCCTTTCTGTGGGTAATGCGTAAAATTCATGACGGGGTTTAAGTACCAGCGCACGTTTATGACGTGTAACAGTAGATTAGATCGCTTGGAAGACTGTTGGATCGAAGTGGTGAGCAATGAATTTTGGGTCCTTTAGGTGGTTTGTGGTTTCTTTGACAAGCTCGAATGTGGCCCGTGCCACTTTTTTTTGTCTCTCTAATTCCTCCTTCACGTTGTTCTCCATGTTCAGTGAACGCTCAAGGCACACGTACGAAGCGTTTTCTCTCATCAGAAACCCGTTTGGTTCGATTCGTTTACCTTCTTATCATAGGTTCTTCGTGAATTGAGTATTAGTCCTATTTATAAGCAAGCCAATCTCTTTTACCGCTTGGTTGAGTTCGCTGAGCATATCCTCTGCTTAAAATTTTATAGCTAAAGGATAAAAGGATAATGCTGTCGGCGCTTATCAATCCCTGAAGGGTGCGCCATGCATTCGACTTCATTAAGCATCGTTTGGAAGTGATTGAATGCATATCTGACCTCTACAATAACTCGCGGTAGCCTACCGATGTATCGAGCCAGTGCTGCTATCCTCCCAGACAAGTCTGGTACCAATTTGCCAACCCCAGAGGAATAGAAGGCTTGGTGGGCTATGTACGCACAGATTGACTCCATGTGTGTTGCAGGAGGCTCCACACGCGCCGTTTTTGAGAGGGATTTTCTACAATACGTATGCCCTTTTCGTTTCAGTTGAGGGTCTTTATTATTCATTGCAACGCAGCTGTAAACAGTTTTGACGAGTTGGTATTGCCTTATTAAACCCTTTAATTTATGAGTATGGTAAGAGATTGATAGAAAAGCTGTATTTTTGCTGTCCATTTAAGATAGTAGTCAGCCAGAGTTCTTATTCAGGACGGGGTCCACTGCTCAGTCAACGAGCGCTGATAGGATTGCGTTCGTATCGACGATGCCAAATGCTTCGTCATAGTTGACAAATACTTTTTCCCGAATTTTTTTGTGAAATTCCAGTAAGACAAAACGTTTCGGATTGAAGATTGCCATGACCTCACAACAGAGCCTCACGAACTTCCGCTCCTGCATTTGAAAGCGGCGTTGGAAGAATTCCGACGGCCAAAAACGTTCAACTTCCCATCACTTCGATTAATTTGGTGCTTCACTGGCAATATATAATATTTAAAGCCGAAAACAGTGACTGCTTGTTTTACGTCTTAAGAAGGTCAATGCTCAAATAGTTGGCCATTCGGTTTTTTGCATTTAAAACTAACTCATTAAGAATATTGTACTTTTTGGATTGTCCACCCAAAGTGATTCTTCGCTCTCCTGAGCTCAATCCTAGAAACAAAGGGTACCCTGGGTATCCGTAACCCTGGCTGAGTCGTATCAAATTTCTCGGACAACTTCACACGGGTATCCACCGAGGGAAGCTCGTTCTAACTCGGCTCAGGGGAGCGAAGACTCACTTTGGGTGGACAATCCAAAAAGTACAATATTCTTAATGAGTTAGTATTCAAAATTTGTTCTTATTTATTTTTTTAGGATTTTAAAGGCATAGAACTCCGAATTTTTTGGAAATTTAAATTTGGGATAGATTTAAGACGGTTTATGGTGAAGTGTTGATTGACGTCTGTTAGGAAGCCCAATATTGTTGGTGAAACTGTGAGATTATCAAGTACTTGATTTACCATAAGATCTTCCGAGCAATTAAATGGCTTTGTGATCTCTTTTATTCCATGGCGATTTCTTTCACATCGTGTTTTCTTCTGAGCTTTTTTTCTTTACTTTCATTCGTTTTGTTACCAAACGGCTTTCTGAAAAGTGATTTGTTTTCGCTGAAAAGAGAAATTAAAGTGATTTTACATACTTTATGACCACTAAACCCAAGGTTTCCTAAGAGTAGTGAAATAAGCCGATTTCTAGTGTAGATTTGCACCAGCGAACCCAATGTATTAAAGAGATAGGTGCGCAGAAGTGGTTCGGATTGAGTAGATGAGTTCGCCACATGGGTGCTTTCAAGGTTCAGATTATCCATACCCCCAACTCGAGTATTTAAACATTTAAAAACTCACGTAGCAAGCTCATCTGTTCAGTTCGAACCACTTATGCGCACCTATCTCTATATTACACCCCAAGTTAAATTGCTTTTGCTTTGTTCGAATAACGGTTGCGGCTCTAACACCACTCGTTTTGCGTAGTTACCCGGTCTGCTGTTGTTACTGTACAGTTAATACCTCCAAACTTTTTTTCAGGAATGCTGTGATTGCTGTCTTCTTGCAAAGGAACTTCTGCATAAAAATCAGCCGTGCGTCGCAGCAACGGGATTCTCGGCCTCTTGTCTCAAGTCATTCACACGTTGTTGTCAAGGACCGTTGGAAATCACTCAAACGTTTCCCCATGTAACTGGTAAGATCATCGTTTCTGTAAAAGGATCCTTTTTGTAGTGACAGTAGCACACCTTGAGAGAATAGCTTTCATAGTCGTTCCTTGCTTGCTTTTAACCGATATCACTATGCTTCTGATGGAGATGTCCTGCAGTTAACAAAATATTTAAATTATTCCTGTGTGGAAACGACTAGTGTGATTCTGGTGATTTTTAATCAATGATTTTTTTTTTACTAAAAATCAGTGAAATATTCCAAATCGATCTGACAAATTCTACCTCTCTGTTTTTCTTAGATTACGGTAGGAATAATTGCATTCTCAGGTAACAGATATGTATTTTTAAGCGCAGCGGAATAATTTCCGTTTCCAATTCCCTCTTACTCATTTTTTGTTTCGAGTAGATCGTCCATCAGGACCAGTCCTGGATAACAGTACCGTTTACTTCGGTGATCGATGTGCGAATTCAAAATGCGACCATCTCTGTAATGACCGGTAAGTGCGATTTACAAGTCTGAGGACATTTTCTGAAATACAGTAGTTCCCCAAAACTCTCTAACAGTCTTTGTGACTTTTGGATGCTTGTACATTTTACTGCACTACTGCACTATTATTATCGCTTGTAAACAAGTCACTTGTGAATGTTCATATAAAATGCTTTTCAGCTCTCGATCTTTGCTAAATGAATGTCGCTATAAATCTTGCTTTAAAATAAGAAGCAAGGAATGCATTGTCATGAACCAGTCGTGGAATCGCTTTCAAGTCCTACTTTGAGTTCGAAAACAAGCGATAGATGTGATTATGTTGATGATTACGTGGCTGTACACCTTTCATGGTCGATCCTTAGTCTAACGATCTTTCTCGTGTTATCTACACAGTTGTTTTCATTCTTTCTAAACTGAGAGCTATCTTTAGAGTGAGTCTTAGAACGATTACCGATTACCGATGAGACTGGTACCGATTTCAGATGAATATCAGTAACTGTTGAATTTTGCAAAGTTTCAGAGGTGGCGAAACTGTAGAATGTAGTTGCCGATCCGGCTACGACTTAGCTCCAGATGGTTACACTTGTGTCGGTGAGTTTTGCTGAAATTTTGCTAAAAGTTCCCAACGGGCCTCTTTGTTTTCTATTTTTATTTAGTTTTTTCAGAATTGACATTTTTTTTAGATGTCATGAGTATTACTGTTTTGGTTATATCTTAACGTTTTTGTGGTTTTATTTCACAGCGGACGCTTCCATGAAAAAGAGGGGGCAGAAAAGAAAGGTTAAGCACAGATTTTGACTCTGCATCTTTACAATCCACCGCCTCAGTACAAATCGATTCATACCTATTCTTATGGGTTGCTATTTATCAGATATTTTGAAATTCATGATCCTTTTTTTTATGAACTCTGATGTGTTCCGGTACGGCCAGAGATCTTGACAACGGCCATCACTTTTTAGTTAGTCTTATAATTTATTCGGCTTCTTGTAGTGCACAATCATTGTTTGATCAGTTTTCCAGTGACCTCAGTAACTTTCCAAAAGTTTGGGATAAAAGAAATAAGCAATATTGTGCGACTGAGCCATGACGATTACCGAAAATGGTGGTCAAGATTCACATTCATAATGCTAGTAGTAACTTAATTAATTAGTTTATATATCTTCAGTGAAAACCAACTGATGTACGCTACCTATATAATTTTAATCAGAATGCTCTTGGAAGCTTTAGAAGTAAAGCAATAAAAATTTAACTACTATCAATACAAATGCTGATTCTGGAAAGATCGGAACGAGTGCCGTTCGTCAACTCCGCCTTGCATTTGGGGACGTGAGGTGTGCGTGAACGTGGCCGGAGGCTATCTCTGTGAACGGCTGACACCGTTGCGATTCCGTCATCGCCCCTCCCTGGATAAGACAAGGTTCATCCGAATGAGGGAAGGCAGTAGTCGCGCCGTGACGAGCAGAATGGAGTCCTTAATTTCGCTGTCCACCATGCTTCCCAGACGAAGCAGGGAGAACGTGCAGAGGTGCCCTCTAGGATGGCAGTTCAAAAATGGGCAGTGTATAGGTGAGTTCAACGGGTAATAGCGTAAAGTTTCCAACTCGATTCAACATCTAATAGACACATCTAAACCGAATTACACCTCTTTGCCGGCTACTGTTGAGCCATTTTTTTTAGAATAAGTTACAATGTTATTGAAATGCATTTGCTGTTCTTCGGAATCTGTCAGAATAGTTTACTCTTGCTAAAATGTTTGAAAAAATCAAAATGTTGTGAAGACTAGAAGAAGGTGCTTACTATGAGGTCGGTACATGTGAAATGTCCGATTTTATTATTTTAATGTGATCTTTTATTACAAATTTTATTCTTTATGTATGTTTAATATTAGTATTTTTGAACCACAGATCTGCTTTTTTTACATTCGGTATTCGTTTTCTCAAGATTTGTTACTTTAACATCTTCGTAGGCTTTAACTTTAGTGTGAATCAAAGTGATGTTCGTGTCTTTTTTTGTACAAATGGAAGAGTGGACGTAATACCGCGGCAGGTGCTCGGAACGTCATCAGGTTTGGGGTGAAGGCAGTGTTGGTGAATCAGCAGTGCGGACATGATTCCGGAAATTCCGATCTGGTGATTTCGACGTCGAAGTTAAAGAAGGTCGCGGACGTTCCAGTGAACTTGACGACGACGAATTGAAGGCACTAGTAGAAGCAGACAAACGAACGACTGTTCCAGAGCTTACAGAGCAGCTTGGCGTAAGCACGGAAACAATTCGCACTCACTTGAATAGCATAGGAAAGACAAAAGAACTCGACAAGTGGGTGCGGCACGAATTAAACGAAAATAAAAAGAGAACGCCGTTTTGAAGTGTCGTCTGCTCTTATTCTGCGCAGCAAAACTGACTCTTTTCTTGATCGAACTGTGTTCATCACAGCTTTTTGAATGCGGGCGAAACGATTACGGCAGAGAAGTATTACCAACAAATCGACGAAATGCACCGTATACTCCCACAACAACGACTGGCATTAGTCATAAAAAAGGGACGAATCCTTCTTCACGACAACGCCATGCCCCATGTTGCTGCACCAGCTTTGCAGAAGTTGATCGATTTGGGCTACGAAACTTTGCCTCATCCGCAAAATTCACCAGGCCTCTCGCCTACCGACTATCACTTCTTCCAGCACCTTGACAACTCCCTGCACGAGAAATACTTCACCAACCATGGTGACGCAAAAACGCCTTCAACGAATTTATCGCTTCCAGAACTTCACAATTCTATGCAGTTGGAATAAATAAGTTTGTTTCTTGTTGCAAAAATGTGTGGTTTTAATGGTACTTATTTCATTTAATAACATTTAGTATGAAAAAAGTTTTGGTTGTTTAAACTTTGCATTCAAAACCGGACATTTCATATGTTACAACCTAATATGAGAATGATAATTTTTATATTAAGTTTTGCTTGCTGAGGCTATGAAAGTGTTTGGCTGAGTAGGTTCCGGGTCAATTCGGCCTTTCCATGATCTGAGGAAAGCGATGCCGCCGAAATATCTGTTACTGTAAGTGAATAAATACTGTAATAGCACTATCGTGTTTGCTCATGAAGAAAACAGTTAATTATTGATCAATGCCGAGGTTAATGAAAAGCAGTCCAGGGATTTGCTTACTTGGTCATAGATTTAGGCTTAAGAATAAAGTGCTCAAAATGGTGTTGGTTGGATAATTTAGTTAATATTCAGCATTTAATATGAAGAGATGTTGAGACGAGTTGGTAGCCGAAGGCGTGTGTCTTTTTATTCGTTGTATGTGAGATAGATTTGCTGTGCATCACACAGCAACTAACACTACGAATTTGATGTATCGTTGCATGCCCATCTTAAACACGTCTAAAGTATCGCTGTTTCACTAAAATAGAGCCTTGCTGGCACATCCGCACCTTCCAGACTAGTCGAGTAGGATAATTCCCTTGATGGGCTTCAAGAATCCGCTGCCCATGGCACCGAGAACAGGAATGAATGCGATGTCAGCATTTTGTATTGCATGTAGTGATTGATTCTTTGCAGTACTCAAACCAACGATTACAGTACTAGTCTTGGCAGAAGCTTTTATTCCTATGATATCTCACTTTTCTCCTATAACTTGTTTTTCTGAAGCTCGTACTCGTTTTCTATGTGTAATTTCAACGGCTTGAAAACGGAAGCCATAGAGAAAATGCATTCTCTGTGAAAATTTTCCGCGACAGATCTTGGATCGGTTTGACTTTTACGTTTCAGTTTTTTCTGTTTACATCTTTGAAGGTTTTCGTTAGTAGTGAACCCATTTTCGAATCCTACACTGTTATGAAACATTACTAGAACCATCATGACATCTACAAACCGAGTGTAAAGTGTTTGCTGTGAAACAATGAATACTAAGCAGTTGCATGTAGGTGTTCTTGTTAACAAATTCCATCTAACGTGCACGTTCAGACATTGACGAATGTCTTGTGTTGGCCGATGATTGTCTAGAATCACAACGTTGTCTGAATCTTCCGGGCACATTCAAGTGTATCCGAACTCTTTCCTGTGGGACCGGATATGCGATGGATTCCGAAACTGAAGATTGCATTGGTTTGCTTGATTGATGTGATGCATCTGATGCGTGTCAAGATCATGAAAGTGAATGGGCGATGATCTTGAACATAGTATATTTCAGATGTCGATGAATGCAGTCTGGGATCGCATGACTGTGGTCCGCTCTACCAGTGCCGTAATACTCAGGGCAGTTATAGGTACCCGATGTTTTTTGTATTACGAAAAAAACAAAACAGCCGATTGCAGACCACATACCTTCCCATTGGTACTTTCTCTAATAAAGTGCCCTCAATAAAAAATCCAGGTTATAAATCATGGCTATAATGCTTGATACTTTTTAATAAAAGCAATATGCTTCTCATGACTGCAAACAACTAACCTAATGATGGCAAATATTTGCATGGTCAATGAAAACTTCCAGCTTTCCCATGGGTTAGGCTAACTGGTGGTTCAGCTGTATGTAAAAATGGTTATAACAGCAAAATCCGAGGCAAAAGTGAAGTTCTCAATCAGCTTTTTACGAGATTTACAATATCCTCTCCTTTGTTTATTTATAGACAAAAGTTCACATATTGCACTTGGTGATCTCAGCACTTGGTTCATTCGCTTCGCTTCCTCGCATACAAAGATTTCGAATTTCTATGTGGGACATAGGCTTCTTCAAAATATCAGCCTTTATAAGTGTCCACGATAGCGCTTGCTTATTTCTTTGGGTGGAGATTTTCCCAGCAAAATCTGATGCCGCCTAGCCGCCTACCACTGTTCCTCAATTTGCCGCCTTTCACCAAATATGCTATTTCTGTGCGGAAAACTACACCCTTGGTTTTTCGTAGTTTTTCGTAGTTTTTAACCGACTCTTGTGTTCTGCTTTATACTTAACTAACATTCTGGTTTCTTTGTGGTTAATAAACTTATAATCGTTTGTGAAACAATAAACAAAAAGACATCGAAATGGAGTATCCATTGGATGTTCACAAACCATTTCATTGTGAGCGGAACTCCCTGCATGGATGCTTCAGCGATTTCCTAGGTGGATTATGGACAAGATTGTTTACAAGGGCAAAAATTGCCAGAAATTCATAATTCTAATGAAGGATGAATCCGATGTGCATTCAACACTTCTAGTAGCAAGCGAAACGCGACCTTATTCCGAAGACCTCCGTAGACAACTAATGCAAGCCGAGTTGGATGAAATTAGTGCTGCGATCCACAAAATATATGGCGTTGGTCATATGATAAATAATCAGATAAATAAATAAGTAAATAAACAGATAAATAGTAGTGCCTCAGGCAGTATAGGGTTTCTCGACGATGAAAACGCGATTGTCCAAAGAAACCGTTTGCAATAGAAGAAGTCACGGAAAGGAAAAGGACTGATTGTTCCAATAGGTATCGTTACTTTGCCGACATTTCAGATGCGATCCGAAAAAATGTGCCGAGGGTGAGCTGCAGAATCCTCGAACAGGAGAATGCATAAGCATCGACTGCCCACTTGGCTACTATCCTGCTAATGGAATGTGTCACGGTGAGGGTTTCTCCTTCCTTCCAGCGCATTCTACAGTAAACCTAAAGCTTGCTTTAAGATGAGACCTTCTACTGGGAGAAACCAAATCAATTGACTATAAGCAGTAGAGTTTAACAAACACTGCCTAAACAAACACACATTCTTCTGCACTTGTTGATTACTTGGTAAAAGGATAAAGGCTAGAACGTTCAGCGCTGATCAATCCCTTAGGAGTGCACCATGCATTACACCCCATATTCGTAACATCACAAAAGTGAATGAGTGCATATCGGGCCTGTACAACGACTTTTGGTATCTCCTACTATTCAGTCGAACTTTAAGAAAACCTGTCAGGATATAGAAATATTTTCATTGGCTCACCTAGTGAGCTATAGTTATCCGGAACGAGGGTTTTGCTTTAAGAAAACAATTAGCGTCGTATTCTCTAAGATTCTTCGTATAGAAGTTATACATTTATCCGATACACAATCGTCTTTTTTATTTCTAGTTTTCATATCCCCTCTTTGCTGAGCTTAGCGATTGGTATTTCTTCAAGGACAGTTCCTTTCCGTGCGATGTTATCTTCGATGATACAAGTTGTGAATAGCAAGCGTCCTAATTTTTCTGTTGTCGTTTACTGAATTCGACCCTGCAGTGTTGTTACTTCATATTCTTGTGAGCTGACTTTGTCGCCTACTTCCTCCTTCTTAGCTTTTCTTCTTAGCTTTGCCTGTGAGTGCTTCTTACGCACTCGTTGACTAATCCGTTTAAGGTTTAAGTGGCTGTTTATTGATGCACATAAAATTAAAGTTTATTCAAGAAAGCTCCGAACAGTTTACCGCCTCATCGTGGCTGGGAGGTGTTTCTGGATGTCCGACTGCGATGTACAGCGGGGCATTGACCCTCTGGCAAGGTCTCCCAATCTCAGAAGGAGTCCGGCGTTTCCATCAGGAAGTCTAGCTAAGAGTAAACCAATACCAGGATCCATCATCGTCCTGGTATCATAGTCACATGCTGGTAAATCTCCCTCAGTTCCATGAGGACTACAACTGCCTGTGGTAGCGAAGACCTGGGTCAGACTTTGCCCAGGCTGACTTCGGGGCCGCAGGGGACCATAATGGCTTACTGTCTACTGCAGTTGTCGAACTTCTGTGTGGCTTCGGCTGCAACTTGAGGCTGTGTTACCCTTTCTAGTCAACATTATTTTTTCAATTAATGCTTCTAAATCCTGATTTTTTTTTGAGGAGAGAAATATTGGAACGAAGGTTTTCTTTGGTCACCACAAGCAGCTGCTGGCTTTTAGAGTAGAAGTAGAACTGGCTGTCTTGTAACTCGAATTCTTCCGGGACGGCCACAATTTCTGTGGCGGTAGCGAACCCTGCTGTTAGGCACTTGAGGACGACGTCGCGACGTCCGAATTGCCTCCGATTTATACATTTTCTTCACTTGGAGAGTGCAGATGTTCAATTCCGCAAATATTTGGGCTCATTCGTATGAATCCTATGCAAAAAGCTTGATGTGATTCGATTTCAAACTAGTTCGAAACGACTTTAAATGCTGCGAGGTAGTAGCATGAGCTGACATAATCAGCTGAGATGATCTCTGTCCATCGCTTAGTACATTGCAACCAGTCATTACAATGGTGAACTTTTTGGACATTCACCTTGGTTCTGAAACAGCAAGTCACATCTTAGTGTTGAGAGTATAATACTGAGGCAAGGTCCACTTCACAGCAAACTTTCGTAGCAAGTCTGTTGTTGCTAAAACATTACATAAAGAAATATTTATGGTTTAATGATAACAAAGATTCCAGTTTCATCAATTCCTGTCCCACTAACTCATTCACAAGAAGTGCTTTCCTGCATTTCAGAAATAGTATCTCCTATTACCATTCGGCTTGAAGAGAAAGCTATACCTAATTTTCATGGTTTCGGTTACCGCACCTTCTACTACCTCCTTAGCATTTGTGGGTGCGCAGTACTTACTGGAATATTTAGATCGCACAATTTTACATGCCGTTTGTGCTTCCGCACTTCTTCCATTTGCTTCATCTTATAACGGTGGCCCAATAAAGATGATCTGCTTCGAATGCTGGTTTAGCTTCAACTTGTCACTCCTCTGGTGGTTTCCTATAATGCCACGATTGCCGTGCTAGAACGCTTTCAGATCTGCAGCACTGGCGGAGCGAATCTTGCTTCTAATCGACCTACCGCTCCAGGTCGAACAAGCCCAGCCCAGCTATAGAGCAGATTATGGTTTTGGTTCCTCTATATTTCGAAAAAAAAAAGTTTAGCAGCCTTTTTGCAGTCGCCCTCAAATCAAAATTCGAGCGCAATTTCCTTTCCCTAGACCTAATTTTCGAAAGACGTGTATTGTTATTTCCAATAATTATCTCTTTTCTTCAACTGACGGGCCTTCTTGCAGATTAGAGGCTTTTATTTCATAAACGAAGAATATTTGTGGAATTGAATAACAAAGTATCAAAACAGCAGTGGGTTAATAGATGAGGCCTAACTTAAAAACAGTTGAAATTGGTCAAGAGATGTGTCTTTAATAGAACTTCGTTTAACGCTTGCATCCGATTTTCTTGAAAATCTCTCCCTCTCTCATTCTTCAGCTTTAATGGGCTTTTATAAAAAATCTTAAAGAGGATAGGCAAGTTATTTCTAAACGTCGACTTCCTGTGTGAAAAATATTGGCAGAGTTTGGAGACAATTTGCTTGTTCAGATGTGGATGAATGTGCTACTGGAAACCGGTGCGCTGTTGGCGAGGAGTGCGTGAATACAGCCGGTTCGTTCCGATGCGAAGAGAAAGGCAACATATGTGCTTCAGGCTACGCAGTGAATGAAAACACTGGATTTTGTGACGGTAGGCCACTGGAGGATGGATGATGTTTGTATAGAAACATGAATAGCATATGGTGGGAGAGACGAAACTCTAGAACGTACGCATTTGGGGTGTCGTCTAGCGCAATTAGGTGAGATGGCCTTCACATTTGAAGAGCTACTGATTCGAATTCAACACCTTCGCGCCAAAAATTGGAAGTTTCACTGCATCCTACCATACTGCATAGCAGGCTTATTTGCTTGTTTGATGGGTAAATTTCGTTAATTTAAATTCACAGCTTTGATTGAGGAGAGCACCGTCGGAGTGCCGAGCTTCTAATCGTGACCAGCTTTTTTAGGCTCTTTATAATCCATGAAACCTTTTTCGAAAAACTCTGTGCTCTTCACCAAAATAAGGATAAAATGGAAACAATAATTTCTAATTTTTCTATCGTAGATAGGCTTTATTGCTACAAAGATTTAATTTTCGACAATTTAAGTTGACATTTTCCTGGGCTACTGAGCTCATGTTAGTTTGTTTAAAAGGTTTAGATTTGTACAAGGTTAACCGTATTCGAAAGCATTTAAATTGAGTTCTCTAGTACAATTTCTACTACATCGGCATAATTGACAATTACCAGCAAAATGCTGGACTAAGAGTGACATAGACCTAAAGAAATAGAACATCATGAAATTTGTGTCATGCAGCTGATCTACTATTTTTGTGAAATCAGGATATCGCCGTACCCAGAGCGTTAATTGTAAGCTTCTGATTAATTGATTTCAAGACGCGGTCTTTAAGTTGAAGTACTATTCCATTTTGTGCAGGCTAACGATTAGGAGATTATTCGAAAACGCACTGATTCAACTAATGATGAGCTTCCAATACTAAAATTACAACAAAATAGAAATAAGCAATGCTTGTATTCGACTGGTTTCCTGGCGTCCAAAATCCACGAACGCATTCCGACTTTCTTACATGTTACTAAGACTGCTGCTTAAGAATTTTTGCCCCTTCGTCCTTGATTTGAATTGTTCTTGAATGCTGGTTGAGTCTATGCTCCCTGAAACCCTGAGGCTGACGTTCCCACGTGGATTTGATGGCACTGCGTTGTTTGCGGCAAGCATGTCACCAGTTTCCCAATCGCGGGGAATGAGAGGCTTGTTGGTCACGGAACGGCGTCGAACAGCGTCTAGGTGGGTTAAGCCATCCACGTAACGAACGGGATCGTTACCATTACGGTACTCGCCGCCTATAATGTAATAAGTAGCAGGTTTACTAAATGGAGAAATAGGCTCAACATGAACTGCAGAACTGTTCAGGTTTTGACAGCAATGTGTTTTGTATGATGGACCATGGTAACATATAATAAATATTAACATACTATTCATACCCAGCGATAATGTAAAGTGTATGTTATAAACCTGTTATGTTCATGTTTTTATCTTTTCAAGTTCTATGGTTCTCGAAATATTATCGTCGATTACCGGAGAATCAGCAGATCCGTTAAAAGGATAAAGCTCTCGGCGTTGATCAGTCCTTGAGGGATGGGCGATGCATTCGACTTCATTATGTGTCGTTAGAGGTGATTGAACGCATATCTGGCTTTTACAATGACTCGCGGTGGCCTACTGACGTATCCAACCAGTTCTGCTATCCTCCCAGAAAAGTTTGGTGCCAATTCCCCACCCCGGAGGGATGGAAGGCTTGGTGGCCCATGAATGCGGTCGATTCCACGTGTGTGTTGCAGAGCGCCTCCGATCAGCGCCACACGCCTTCAGTGGTATAGTGGAATTTCTTATAAATAGCATAATGAAAGGTGAGTTTACTATTACGTAACTAGTACTACACGATATGAAACATTTTTAAGACTACTGAATGAGATCAGCTGACTGATATTTTGTCATAAAGAAGGTCCTCTTCCTTGAAAAGACGGAGAAAAATGAACCAGATCAGTTACAGCGGAAAATTAAACGTCGTCCTATGTGCAGCCCACAGTTATATGTGTTTCGCATTTCTTATTGGTATTAATAGATCAACAATTTTTTTTTAATTCACACTAATTTGTTGCCAGATTATTTATCCGATCGGAATAGCGGTCATCAAAATTTATTTGAGAACAAAAATGACGTTGTGAATCTTTGTGGATATGTTTTGCAGATATAAATGAGTGTCTGGATGAGTCGATCTGTGACGGATTGATGTGTATCAACATGCCGGGCAGCTACAAGTGTCGTTGCAATGCTGGATATGAGTTCAACGAGAAGGTCAGCGCAATCCGTGACCAGTGCTTGACTCAGCTCAAGAGGGCACAACGCCATCCAGAATCGGACACCAATATAAGCAACGTTTGAATGAGTTTCGATGAACTGCAGTGGTAAAGTGGAACTCCATAACTGCAAATCTATGAAAAGAGTTGGATTCATCTCTTTTCTCAAAAATGATGCCCGTTGAATTTTCTACTTTCTATTTCAAAGCCGTGGAGCTCGTCATCTTCCTTCTTTTTGTTTCTACTATTTTATCAATAGGTTCTGCGATTGATAACAATTTTTGAGAAGAGCTCAAAGTTTTTTTTTGAACGTTGATTTCGAAGTGATTTCGAGATTTTTCATTCATTGACAAAGCGGCTTATTTGGAACTCTCGGGGGTTTTCATCATTTATGTATACTTTTTTTGAACCTAAATAATATAGGAACATGCTGTCTCTGAAAAAAAAGCCAATATAATATTCAAATGCTACGCTTTGTCTGGTCCCACCTATGGCCTTTTTGAGTGGTCCTCTCAACAATTATTTGCTTTGCTTGGCGTCTCACACATCCGCCTTCCAGATGGGTGGGTTGGCCTGGAATGTGGTTAAAATCGCTAACTCTCAGCTCAAAATGAAGTCATTGCACTAACAATAAAATCTCAGCTTTTTCAATTTCTGAAAAATGGCTGGAGAGAGGCTTCGATATTTTTTTAATTTCTCAGTCAAACTCCTATTTTCATTTGATTAACCGCTTTCTTTCTAATTTTTGAATAACGGAATATAAAAGTCGTTTTTACTTTCACCAGTATTTACATCTTTCTGGTGAATAGAGCTGCGAATACAGTACTTTATGGGAAGATAAGTTTTTTTTTTCTTATGAATACTTGGTCGGTTGCTTAGACGAAGCGCTGCGAGGATGTGGATGAATGTGAGAAGTTCGCCGGCCATGTGTGTGATCTGTCCGCTGAATGTCAGAATACCATAGGCTCATTCATTTGTAAATGCAAGAATGGTTTCGAATTAGCTGCAGACGGTAGGAGATGTGAAGGTCAGTTAGTTGATGTCCTGAATTAGTTGGTCCATGGAACGAGGAATTGTTGACTCTCTTTATAAAATAACAAAAGTGGCATTCTTGTGAATGTGAAAATCCTGTGGTACTTGAATGACCCATCCTCAAGATTTTCGAAGAATACAGGTCTTAGGATAATTTCCATTTGACTGTTGCAGAAAAACTTTCCATGGAGTCTAAAAGCTTTCTGTTTTTTCCCACACAGTTCTTGCAATGTATATGTAGGATTCAAGAGATTGGTCAAATTACTCGAGCAGATATGAGCGTTAACCTCCTCGTCCCTGGCATCACTGTACTTCTTTTCTTCATCTCAAAAGATTTCAAACTTGGGCAAGTAAACCCATGTTTGGGATGTTTTTTCCCATAAAGTTATTGAAACTAGACTGGCTCGTGCCTATGTAGTCACTACTTGCCAGCCAGTGACTGTGTTGTTGTCGGCACAATAGCGATTTCTGGAATCGTTTTCATTCATCTATTGACATGACCGTTTTTCATTAGATATCAATGAGTGCGCAACTGGAGAAGCACAATGTGAGCAGAAGTGCATCAACATCCCAGGCTCGTATCAATGCATATGCGATAGGGGCTACACTGTCGGTGAGTTATGACCTTTCTTGTACTCTATGCTACAGTATAAACAAGAGCCCAGGAATCTGCCAAGTGATACATTCCACTCTTAGAAGACACAGAAAATGCGATTTTCGTGATGTCTTTTACCCGCTAATTTCTCACTATAGCAAGAGTGGTCTGGCTAAGTTTTCCGCTCCAGAAAAATCCTTTTTGGAAGTGCTATACCATTTCCTTCCATGATGTTGCTTGCTCTTAAGCCTTAGGCTTTTAGACATTTAAATTCCATTCCAAGACAAAAATAGTGGTTTCTCAAACCACGTCTTATGGGCTTTTTCCGTGCAAGCTCGGGTTGTAGAACTCCTGTCTGAAAATTGCTTTCTTCGGGATTTCGCTGTGGGTTTAAGGGAGATACCAGAAATTTATTACCAGTAAGTAAGTAAAGTAAAGTAAAGTAAGATACAGCAGAAAGGACCAAAATTTCACTCCAGGTATCGATGGGAGAACTTGTGAAGACATTGATGAATGCACATTATGGGCCGGCTCTGGTTAGTTTATTAGTTTCACTCAAAATTTTTCAGGTTACAGTTTCATTTTTATTTTGTGGCCACAACCTCTGAGACATTTAGTAAACAGCGAGAGAAGTTGATGTGAAATTCGTTTCAAAGTTTAGCAATTGCCTTGCCATCTATTTCTTTTTCGTTTCACTATTCCTTTTTACAATTTCCTGATACCCCATAGTTGTTTAATCTCCACGGATCTCTTTCATATGGCGAAATTTGAGCCAATCTATGATAAGGCTGCGCAGTTATCCTCAGACGGCGAGCAGTGTGTTAAGCACTCACCTAGAGCTATACGTCCACTTCCTCTCAAATAGAATCGCATACAAGCGATCGTGTATCAGTAGGATTTATTTGTACTTTCTTTAGTTACATTCTTGCATTTGTGCATAGGTGTACTAATATGAATGCAGATTTTGCAAATCGATTCAGTCAAAGAGTTCGGTCAAGTGACTGGTAAGTACACATATGGTGGCTTGGGATTACTTTCAATAAACGAACACACTTTCTAATCCACGACATTGCACCAAGATACTTGTGGATCCACACGACCCATGACAGCGCTTTGCAACCTATATGTGGGTGACCTCTGCCGGAAAGGTATTGGTTAACCGCCTGGTTATTTTCCAGATCCTGAAAAAGCTTTGAAATGGCAGAACAAGTTCGAAGAGGTCTCTCAACTATCTCTGGGAGTAGAGCGGTGACGATCAATTCGTATATCCCACATACGCACGCAATGATCAAAAGTCCCTACTTTGAACCTCATTGTGAAAATCGAAAAACGAAGTCCGATGTCAGCGAACTAACCTTGATGAGGACAGCTAATTGGTACATATGCGACTGTACTAAGCACAGATTTATACGGGATAGAAGAGCAGCAGTACAACTTGAAACCACATAGATTGGAAAAAGACGCTGCAACGTCTACTGCTATTTTGTCAAATAGATTACCTTAATTGCTGCTCTCTAATAGCCTTATATAGTAGTTAAAAAATCCGAGAAGACAACGGATTCAAACATTGTAGCCACAATGGTGCTAAGATATTTGCAAAACTTCATACCGCAGGTGTCCCCCGGAAAGGGTAATAGCGGGCTCGATCTCCACCGGAGACACCTGCGGTCCGGTTGTTGCAGGCAGTAAACAAAGGTTAACATTGTGATTTTAAACATTTTATTTCCATTACTTCAACAGCCACTTCCATTTGCCTTTATATCAATTCTTGGAAGGTAGATGTGTTGTCACAGCTCAACTTTCCGAATTCAGACATTTTATGAAGTATCATAAACCATTCATACCAACCGACAGGAGTAACCCTTACAGAGTGTGAGCGTTTTCGGTGGTCTAGAATGTTTTCACCTGAAACATGCTCATCAAGATTCGGCAATAACTGTGTGAAAATCTGCATTTGGTTAAGTCTCCAAAAAACGATTCCATGGACGTGAAGAATTTGTTTTAAATCTCTTATAGACGCTAAACGAAAAGATCAAACAAAGGCTTTTGAATATGAAATCAGCCTGGTAAACAACTTTGCTTAGCATTCACCATTTCCACTCTGCTCATCCTTTCTGTTCTAATGTGCACCTCGGAAACGCAGATGATACGTAAGCAGGATGAAAGATCTTTCAAAATCGTCTAACGCGCTACCAAGAGGATTATTCCCGGAGTGCCTCGTATCACTCAAGTAGGAGAGCAAATCCAGAGCTGCAGTGATCGGTGACCTTGCCACAGTCACCTTTTTTGGCTTTGACACCACATGAATGCGACGAGACAGGATGGATACGACATGTGCTTTCATCAAAACGCTAGACACAATCTGCTTGTCTCTGGATCTTTTGTGAAGTCAAGGTTAGAACAAAAAGTTCATTGACTCGGTGATCACATGTCTTCGTGAACAAATAAGCGAAAATGTTTCCTTCTATTGAGATTTCACTGCACTTCATGAAATCGCTTGAGTATAAAATACTAGCGCAGGTGAGCGGTTACTGTTTTGCTTAAGATGAGATAAGAGCTGGGAAATTCGAGGACCAGAGTATCCCACTGCAACATATTTTGCTTTAGGTGAATTTGAGGATACTGAGAGCTGAGCACATCTGAGCACATTCATTTCTCACCATGCTGTATGTATGTTGAGAAATTCATGGGCTAGAACATTTCTTTCATTCGTTCGACGTAGTAAAATCCAGTCTGTGCAGAAAGATGGTGGTAGTTGTTCACATTTTCCGAAAATTGTTTAAGAAGTAGTACTTTTCTTTGTTTTTGGTATTACATTGCTGTGAAATCTACTCTCAAGTTCAGGTAGTGATCTGTGCATGGGAGGTTGTGTGAATACGAAGGGCTCGTATACCTGTCAATGTCCACCAGGCTACAAAATCCAACCTGATGGAAGAACCTGTGTCGGCAAGTGTTTTAACTTCAGTGGCCACCTACGTAGTAGATGATTTTAAAAAAGCCTTTTGTTTTTTAGTGGAACATTAGGTTTTCCGTTTTTCAAATTTCAAAAAACCAGATGTTCACGAGAGTCCCTGTGATCTCAATAAGTTGACACAGTGCCAACTTCTCCATGCAGTGGATATTAGAGTGATTCTGAAGGATGCTAAACTTGGGAAAACATCAGGGACTGCAAAATAAGCATCCTCCGTAATCGGAAACTTTTCACCAGACTTCTCTGGAAAGGTTAAACATTGATTTGATTATTGACTAGGACACCGAAACTCGTTGCATGAACCAAATATGTATTCAATTATCACTACGATCATTATTGATACCTACTTTATGTGGTTAATGAGAGTCTCTCATCCTTAAAAAATAATCAAAACCGCGTGCTTTGTCCTTACTTGGGCACTTGGATTGCCTTTCTTCACTGGCTGTGCAGATCCCGTCATAATTTTTTTTTCGCAGTTTTCGCAGTTTTTTTTGCCGAACTAGCTATTTTGGTTCCGTGGAGTCCCGAGGTCAGCCGGGCCAAAGTTTGCCCCAGGTCGTCACAAGCAGTGGTAGCCCTTGTGGGTCAGAGGGAAATTTGCCACCATGCGACTGGCTTAATACCTGGACGGTGGTGGTTTTTGCTGTTGGGTTAGCTTTACTCTTAGCTAATGATGAAAACGCCTGATGAAAACGCCAGACTCCTGGTCAGCTTGGGAGATCCTGCGGTACGGATGAATGCCTCGTTGTACATCGCAGTCCGACAAACAGGATCACCTCCCAATCACGATGAGGCTGTAAACCGTTGGGAGGTGTTTTGTTCTTGATCCTTCTAATGCAAGAAGGTCACACTGCTGTAGTCGCTTTGATCAGCAACAACAGTGATAAATTTCTATAGGTAGAGCAAACTGAGAAGATGATAAAGTATGTCGTGATGAAGATAAAAATGGGTAAAAGCCATGTGGGTGATTTTCAGACGTGGACGAGTGCGCTCTTGGAGAATGTCAAGGACGTGATCGAATTTGTGTGAACACACTTGGTCATTTCAAATGCCATCACATCGAATGTCCTAGGAACTACGTGCGCGACAGTAATTACAAGAAGTATGGTAATCCATTAGCTGACCGGAAAATTGTTTGGAATCATAAAAACAATCGGACGTTCTTGCCTTAAAAGCGACAACAGTATGTCAGATTATCGATGGTAGAGCTTTCTTCGTCATCATCTGTTTAAGTTAGAGGAGCGGAAGAGAGTCATTGTCTGCAGTATCCATTCTTTGCTTTTAAATCTTGTTGGTAACTACACTTTGGTTGAATTAGTAATACTTACGACTTTCCGTGACAGTGAAGAGATCGAGACAGCACTAAACTTCTTAACCAGATTTTGGACCACCGTATAGGAAAGTAAATACTGGTCAAGACCGTAGACGCAGAAGTGTTGAACAATGGGTCTCATTTTAAGTCCCTGATTTCAGGCTTCTTAGTAGATATTTAGGGTAAGCATACAGTATGAAAATATTTACATGCAGACCTCATTTCTCAACTTTTTTTTCTCGCGTTTTGTAAGTATATGAAAACTAAAGCTTAGTTCGTTTCTGGTCTGTGACCATAAGGAACCTTGGAGTATAAGAGGCTCAGGTAAGCTGGCCATCCATTCTTATGCAGAACTTTGCAGTGTGAAGTGCTTCATGTTTGATAATCAGTTTTTTCACGCCTAATACTAACGTTTCAGTCGTTGCAATCGCTTGCGTTCAGTTTGTGATGGATTGTCGGATTCGCTATGTAAATCTCGTTACCCGATCCACATTACATGGCAGTACATAGCGATTCCGAAGGGAATCGCTATCACTTCACACAGGCCGACTATCACTCTGTTCACCATTAAAGGACCGGCACACAACGATTCAGTCGTGCAATTCGAACTAAACCTGAAGCGTACCGTGCCGGGTATGACACAATTTTGAAGCGGCACTCATTGAGAAGGCTCTACTGTGAGTAGCATCTCACAGTGAGTTACTTAAGTCATGCAGCGAAAGATTAGACGTACTTGAAAAACGTGCAAACTCTCAGCTCAGCTTAGCTCCGATCAATATCTATTGATATGGTTGCTCAATCGGTATATGCACTTATCACTACCTAGTTTCAAGCATGTAGGAGAAGATTTCTAAATGCCTGTGCTTGATGAATGCCGTCTGAATTTTCTGTTTAGCTTGTTTTTATACAAGTATACTAACCACTAACGATCTCAGAATCTCCTCTTGTGTTGCTGGCAATTCGCTCAAATTTTTTACTCCAAAAAGGGAAGGAACGCAATTCGGCTGTGGTCGCCGTTAGGGACACACTGGATGGACCACAGACCATCGAAATGGAGCTCGTTCTCCGACTCACCAAAAAATCACAATTCACCGGCAAATATGTCGCTAATCTGGTCGTTCATGTGGCGGCACATAAACGCAACACCAACTTTTTCGGTTATTAGTGCTGTTAAGTCTTTCACCTCCTCAATATCTCGATCTTGTACTGCCTCCAACGAGCAAATGTTGTCATCCTCCTGTTTTTTTCGAATTTTTCAATTTGCTGTGCCTTATATATTCGTTATTTGTTGCTACAAACTACAAAATAATTCCGTCAGTGGAAAAGTTACTGTAGACAGCATTTGTTACGTATTTGTCCCTGAAGCATATCAGAACTAACGAGTAGGCTCCGGACCCTCAAATTATACGACTACTAACACAGTAATATTTTTGTATAGAAAGCCTATTTTTTGAGTAGTTTCCTAGATTCGGTTGTGAGGACAGAAATTAACTGCAGGTAACGTGTCGGGGTATCTCCGAGCACAATGAACAGCTTATGTCATATATATATCCCTCAACCGCCACGCATGTCCTTTCCACCCATTTGATTGCTGGGGTTTTAGTGGAAATAAGTTACGGAATACAGGTCAATAACTTGAAAGCTCAGTCGCTTGATTCTGCAAGGATGTGTGCTTACTTTTTACGGAGGGTTTAGTTTAGCCTGGCGGAATACAGAAAAGGAGCACATATTTGGAGTCTACCTGCATCTAGGGTCAAATACACCTTTGTTTGTCTCCAGTACGTTTTCAACCTTCTACCTGTAACCCATGCCCATCGCCTACTTTGCACCATGTAACACCGTTAGGAACAGACTCGGTGTTTTTCCTTGTGAGTGAACTTCACTGTAGTGCAAAATTACAGAAGGCCAGAAGAAGACAGGCAATTTTTGAATCACGAATTTTTAAATGAGTTTGAAAACTTGCTCATTGTTGCTCACACTTTTGTGATTCATTGTCAGTTGTGATATGGTTTTTTTGGTTTTGCCTAGTCTTAATTTGTTTTCTTTCAACAGAAGAGTGTTCTTAGAATCTGAGTAGGGTATCTTGCTCGTAGTATCATGCCGATCTACATTAACTAGTCTCCATTAACAGTGTTTTTTTTCTCAACTTAAATCCTGAAATTTTACTTTTTTACATTCTTTTCTGTCTGTCCTTAGTAAGAAGTACAAGTTTCTAGCTCCATCTGGATGTTGGACAATCATCGGTCGTCCACTGCGAGACCGTCACCGGAGTGGTGGCTTGACACATTCTTGTATTTTTACCCAGTTGTACCCATACAAAATTAGTAGCATCACCCAGACTACCTAGCCTCACTTCTCTTCATCATTCTTTCTTTTCGTTCTCCAACTCACTCATACTTCAGAAGTCATTTAGTGATTATCACATAGGACCATTACGCGTGGTTCTTGTTCGTTCACAAAAGAAATGTATTGACTTTGTTTATGTGCATAATCCTTGCATATAGTTGGTGTTATTTTACTTAGTGCATGTTGTGGCTTGTGTAAAGCCCTGTTGTGTTACGATAATCAGCGTTGTTTACAAATTCGCTTCAAATTGATAGGGCCTCCACTGGATAGGAGATTGTTTATGATAGTGAATAACTCAGTGGTGTTTATGTTGCTAGACGTTTGTTAAGCATGTTCTCAACCGCATCCGTAAGAATGTGATAAAGATTTTGTGTAATAATATCGAGAATAACTCAAAAAATCGACTTTCTATAAACTTCGACATAAATAGTTGATATACTTATTTATGCTAGTAAGTCACTTCAAGTAAGAGTCACTATCCTCACGAACGAATCGAAAACATCAGCGCGTAAAACTCTTGAAGCGTTTTGGATCAATTCCAAAAATTCAAAAATGAACCGCAAGGAGGAGTGTCTTGTCATCACGCGTGACCTGGCGCCATACCTCAGGCTGATCCAATGACCTGACATGGACACAGTTATCGACCATGTATTACTCTGTGCGGCGGCTATCCACCAACTAACTTAAATACTTACAACAAATAAACGGTAGGTGTTTGAATGAAGCTGTTTCTTATGCGAATGCAAATCGAATTGTCAAGTTTTATCTGCTAGGGTTGTGAAAGTGTTTGGCTGAGTAGATCACATCTCAATTTGACCTTTCCAGGCTCTGAAGAAGGCGAAACCGCCGAAACGTCAGCAATTGTGTTCTAATAAATTCTATATTAACAACCTCGTGTCTGCTTATTGATGAAAAACATTGAATACCTCTTTAGATTATCAACCTAACACGAGATTGATAAAAATGTTCATTTGGTTAGTGTTTCGAAGTTTTCGTCTTCCTCAGAGCCGATAATCCGAGTCGGTCGGTGGTCCACAGTTATTCGTCCTTCCGATGTGGCGTCTTCGTCTTCGTATCATGTCGAATCTTCTTTTCTGTAGTACCGCTCGAATAAGGAAACTTCACCCGGTAGAGCTCTTTTATACATGACGGATGTTTGTGATGACTGTTCATTGATATTAATTTGCAAAAATAATCCTTTGCTATTCGCTATGCGCTAGCTAACACAACCTAATACCGACTGTTGCAGGGTAAATTCTCCGTTGAAAAAACAAGCTATTATCAACGGATGGTCGTGTCAACAACGACCGTCCTGTATAAAACAGCGCTGCCGGGTGAGACTGCTTTATTAGAGCGGTATCCCACTGAAGAAGATCCGTCTCGGTGTGACAGCGAAGACGCCATATCGAGAAGACGAACATCTGTGGGCCATCGACTAGGACCATCGGCTCTGAGGATGATGGAGACGTCGAGGACGTTAGCCGAATAAACATTTTTGTCAGCCTTGCGTTAGCTTATTAGTCCAAGAGATTAACTGCTCATTATGGAAGAACAAGTAGTTTTTTCTCTGCAGAAGAAGGTAGAGGATGAAAGGTCATCTTATAATTTTGGTGGCAGAGATTATGTATATAACCATATCATAAAGCTTAAAACGAAAACCGTCTTGAAGATTTGACTCACGCGATACCCTGTTTGATTCATGGATTACTAAGCAAGCCGAAGTGAGTTGTTTCAGCCATGTGCAGGACGGCTATTCATGCCTCAAAGTCTGCATGAAAGACGATGCCGTTTGCCACGGAAATCACACAGCGGAAATCCTGTATCAATTTCGAGCTTTGCCTTCAATGACATTTGTCAAAAATCCAATCGAGGTTTTTTGTTTAAATCAAGGCTTTTGGATAGAAATTAAAGACGGTGAAAAGGCAACGATAAGTATTGAGAGTTTTCCTTAAAGGGAAAAAAATATTGCGTGAAAAAACTACCGCTACCCTCACAGTGTGCTAGCTTATAGTGGTTTTATTACTATGAACAATAACAAGATTAATAATAATAGTGATAGAAATAATGGTACCAGTAGTAGGAAATTTGTCACACTGCGGAAGTTAATCGACCAAGCAAGCAAAATGTTGCAGGTGTCTCGAATTCGGACGCATATGAACACTCCATTCTCGGTCGACTACCACCTGGATTCGGTAGGGCGTCGTCACTTTATCGTAGAGCAGGATCGGAATTTAGGTCAGCCAGAGTGTTCCTTATTTGGTAAAAAAATAAACGATAAAGCTCTCGGCGTTGATCAATCTCTGAGGGATGCGCCTTGCATACGACTTCATTAAGCATCCTTTGAAAGTGATTGAATGAATGTCTGGTCTTTACAATGACTCGCGGTGGCTTATCGAATTATCAAGCCAGTGCTGCTATCCTTCCAGACAAGTTTGGCACCAATTTGGGGACTTTGGAGGAATGGAAGGCCTGGTGGGTCAGGGGTTTAGAGATCGATTTCACGTGTGTGTGCAGGACTACTCCGGCCACTGCGCCACACGCTCTCCCTTCCTCTTTTAGTTAAAAAAAATCGAGAAGGAAACGACCAGTTTCTAAATAAGCAGTTGCCTGTTTAAGAATCTTAGCAGTGGAAGAAAAATACAGCGAGCAGTTTATATTCCTCGCATTCGTCGAATAACCCCATTGCGCAATTATTAACTATTGTTAAAAACTCTATATAGCCAGGAAAATAATAGCATAACAAGATTAGGTAAGGAATAAATTTAACAAAAGGTAACCTAGCTAAAAAGTAGAAGAATAAATGAATGGTGAAGAACGATGACTGTGCGACGATGGAGAAGAAGAGTACGATTAGCAACGGATAATTTCCTAAAGAGGTGGCAATACTTGAAGATCCTTACACACGCCTCCGACTATTTTCTGTTAGTCAGTTGTAAACATTGTTACTAGAGATACCTTGCAATACCTACATGGTCGATCTGACATGCAGCTACACATGGCGCACATTTCCGAATCACCGAGTGCTCCAACTACGTCCGTGTTTGGTTGCCTCTGATTCTGATCTGCATGACGACCACCTCTATAAAATCAGCGGAAATTTTGTGGCCGCTGTTGATCAATGGAATTGACGGCCGGAAACGATTTGTGGACCATAGGATGGGATCACGTACGTCACTTTGATCCAAATATTTTTCTATGAATGACGGCGACTACGTAAGGAGGAAACTAATAGAACACAGACCTCAGCAAGCTGTTCAGGTATGCAAACATCCAAGTAAAAGCGTACACAGGAGCTCCCCGATTATTTAACGAATGAATTTGTCCACGTTTACTTTAACAGGTGTCGTAGCTTCGACGTTTGTGAATGTCCGTGACGGAATCTATAGTCGGCTTCATCGCTGTGCGAGAAAAATGGTTTTAAATTTTTGTTTTTTGATCGACTCTACACTTCAGCTAAACGAATTGAATTTTTTCTTTTTCCTGATTAGGTAAATCTGATCGTCAGTAATGTGTGCCGTCTTGTGCAAGCGGATGAAATAAACACGAGCAGAAAAAACTCAACAAGCCGGAAAGAAATAACGAAAACCATGGATGCGAATCTAAGTAACGATTTTTTGGACAAGGGAGCCTTTTGTAGTGTTTCAGTTTTGGATGTAGAAGTATTTGGTTTTCAAATTACTAGGAAGTAAAGGAGGTTCATTTCTGTGCGGGAACCCAATCTGAAGTAGTATTAGACATTGCAATCTGGAAACCCAGCAAGAAATGAGCGTATGGCAAAATTCGTCACAGTCTTGGAAAGATGAATATTCATTGCGGTAC